TACAGTCATACTCAATTAGGGCCCACCCTAATGGCCCCATTTTAATTGAATCATCTCACTGTCTAAGTACAGACATAGCTCCAAATACAGTAACATTCTGAGGTACTGAAGTTTAGGACTTCAACATATGGACTTTGAAGGTTCTTGATTCAYGTCATAACACTTTCTATCAGGTAGTTGACCATTTTATTGATATGTGGGATAMTCTTCATATATTCAGGAAATAGAATTCTCTATAGCTAATAGAACTAGAATGAACCAATTCATTATGTACTGACATACAATTTCCAAGATATATTATTTTTTTCAGATTGAATCCAGGGCCTCAAGCATGCTAGGCAAGCTCTCTACTACCTAGCTACACCCCTCACCACCAGCCCKTTTATATTTTGTATTCAGTTATTTTTAGACAGGATCTTGCAACTTAGTTACCCAGTCTGGCTTCCAACTTGCAATCCTCCTGCCTCAGCCTAGGTAGCTGGGATTACAAGAAAGTGCCACTGCACCCAGCTTATTTTTAATTTTTTAAAAAGGTTTCAGGGAGTGTTATATTACACTATTTTACACTATTATATATAGGTATGTATAATATAAATATATATATTATAGATATAAATATATATTTGTATACATTATATATAAATATATATTATACAAAACTACTATATTATATTTGTGTGTATATATTATACAATATGCATTATATATAGTATATATTTATAATGTGAAATGATACAATATATTACATTATATATATTGTGTGTATATTTATATTCTCTGTAGAGATCAACAAGAAACTAACAGTAACTGCTTCCAGGGACAGAAATTCTTGAGAAGAAATAGGTGAATGAAGGCAAAAAAGAACTTACTTTTCTTTCATTATTTACCATTTTCTATCTTTTCAATTTTGTGCATGTATTACCTGTTCAAAGAAAAAGAAATAGAATATACACACATGCACATGTACMCACACACMCATATACACATATATGTACACATGGGTTGAACAGARGAGAAGGAATAAATGGGAAGGAGACAATCAGAAAGAAGGTCTGGAAACACAGCAGGCCCTAAATTAAGACCAAAAGGCATGGACAACTCTAATTCTAGAGATTAAGCCCCCCTCTCCCTAGGGTTTGGGGCTGGGTCATTCATCCATTGATTCAACAAACATTCATGAGCATTTTCCAAGGACCATGCTGGGTGTTGGATGTTCAGATGCAGGCATGGWCCCTGTCCTTAAGGAGCCTGCACACAGTTAGGGGAGAGAGAAAAAATAATCTATATAAATAGGCTACAATTCATGAATAGGCTACTATTCATCTTGAGCCATGACAATAACACCTGTAGAGGATATTATGGAGGCAYAGAAGAGAAACACCCAACCTAAGCTGCAGAAAACACTTCCCTGGAACAAGTAACGTCAGCCTCCCTGCTGCCCCCAGCTTCTTCTGTCAGTTCTTTCCTGCTGAGGAAGGGATCCGAGTGTCCTCTCAATGTGATTGTCCTTGCAGAGCACGTGCAGGAGCCTCAAGTCACCCTGAAGTCCATAACCRTGTCTGAGAATGCTTCCTGTAACATCACCCTGATGTGCTTTGTGAATGGTACAGAAAATGGTGTCCAATTCAGCTGGACCTCAAGTACTTCTGAATCCTATAGCAGCTCTATCCTCACTGTCTCCCCAAAGCCCTGTGATCCAGGCCTGTCATACACCTGCACAGCCCGGAATCCAGTCAGCCAGAGCAGCTCCCGCCCTCTGCATGCCTGGCAGTTCTGTGCAGGTAACAGCTCCACTTAAGCCTTTCAGGGAGTTCCAGAAACAGTCTAGCCACTGTGGGATCTAAACCTCGGGGTTCTGGGAGAACTCAGATGGGATGGAGAAGGAAGAAGACAGGCCCCCAAACTCTGTTGTCCACTCTCAAGAGCCTCAAATAGGCTACCAGGACTTGGGAACTCTCAGGACACTGTGAAACTCTTAAGAGTAGAGCAAGGGAGAAGACAGTGTACACGGAGGGGTCCAGATGGGTCTTGGCTTGAGTGGAGGTGTCCCCTGTGGTCTCCTCAGAAGGGCCAAGAGGACTAGACAAGTATGCAATGGGCAGAGCCAGGCCAGACACGTGGTTATGGGGAAGCAGCGGGGATGCCACATCACAGGAGGAGCCGGGGGAGAGAGGTAGAGGAGGAGGATGCCCAGGCCCCTTCAGGATGGCTGGGGGTCAAGGGAGGTGGGGAAAGTGGCTAAAGCTGCAATATCTCTTCTCTGACTGCAATTCTAGGAACCTCCAAAGGAAACACAATGGGGGAGACTGTGGTAGGGACCCTGGGAGAGCCAGTCACCCTGCCCCTGGCCCTCCCAGCCAGTCAAGACACAGAGAACATTGTCTGGATGTTTAACACATCTCTTATCAGCAAAGAGTGGAAAGGATCAGCAACGGCAGAGCCACTCGCTACACCCAAGGGTTCTGATGAGAGCAGGGTGTGGGTCTCCAGCCAAGACTACTCCCTGAAGATCGGCCAGCTCAAGACGGAGGATGCTGGCCCCTACCATGCCTATGTGTGCTCAAAGGCCTCCAGAGTCACCAGCATGAAACACGTCATCCTGCTCGTCTACCGTGAGTCTCTGGGTAGAGCGCCCATCACGTGAAACTTCTCTCCCTGAGAAGTTTCTCCTCTGATGCCCCCCCCACCCCTTCTCTTAGGCCTCTCTTTGTACCAAAACACCTCCAACTAGTAGGACAGCTATTCAGTTCACACCAGTGAATTCACAAGAGGAGAAATTACAGCCAGCAGCAGAACAAAACCTACCTATCAAGGTGCCCCTTGCTCTTCACATTAGCCCTCGACCACCCAGCTTTCATTAACGGCCTTGTCCTCTTGCATTGGTTCTCAGACGGCACCAGGAACCTGCACTTTTGTGAACCATTATCATTTTGAATCAGGGTAGAACTGACTGGGACAGAATTAGAGGAGTCTGTGGAGAAACCCTTGATGTCAAAGACACTGTGTGCTCCAGAAGTTGGGCCACCAGCCCCGCTGAGTGGGAAAGACAGATGCACATTCTTCCCCCTTGGCCCTGGACCTCATAGGAACTCAGTGTGACATTCTGCATGGGTTAACTCTTCTGTACCATTCAGATATGGTCGACATAACCCCCCACTGAGTTTACTGGTGTCTGGGTACCTGTGAAAAGAATCATCATCTATCCATTGACCTGTTAAAATATGCAACAAGTTGGTCAAGTCCATGTTCATTGCATATACTCAAATGATAAAAGAGCCAGCAAGATTAAATATAAAAAATAGACTAAGAACTGCATCAACCTATTTCTTTTAAAAATAACTTTATTTTAAAATATATTTAATTTAATCTTTAGTTAATAAAGTTTCTTCTTAAAATAAAATTTTCACTTTTTTGAGAGAGAATATTTTAATATTTATTTCTTAGTTTTTTTCGGCGGAYACAACATCTTTGTTTTGTATGTGGTGCTGAGGATTGAACCTGGGCCGCACGCATGCCAGGCAAACACGCTACTGCTTGAGCCACATCCCCAGCCCCTTCACTTTTTTTCTTTTGGGCATGTTTTACCACAGGGCTACATCCCCAGTCTGACAGGGTCTCTCTAAGTTATTGAGGGTCTTACTAAATTGCTGAGGCTGGTCTCAACTTGTGATCCTCCTTCCTCAGCCTTCAAGTCACTAAGATTGTAGGCATATGTCACCACACCCAGCTTTAAATAACATTTAAAAGAAACATTTTAAATGTGCTAATGTTTATTGAGCACTTGTTCCGAATTAGGTGCTGTGCTCACCTCTTTATATTCCTTCTCTCATGTAAGCAGACAAACTACATGATAGAACCTCAAATGAACCTTTAACAGGCCTTCAAAGTGAGTGGAAGCATTGACTTATTTGTGTTGATGGGTTTGCTCACTTTCCACAGGTATAGTGTATGGAATAAGATGGTTTCTTTCTTTTTCCCCCCTTTATTAATTGCCTTATTTTACACCTGACCATCAAGGGCCACAGAAGGGAAATGATGTGCTTATGATTAGGTGGTTAGGAATGCTCCTAAATACTTGTGACTCCTGGGGGCACTGTCTGCACAGGGTCAACACACARCTTCATGAATAGGTTTTGAATGAACGAAGCTGTAGGCCTCCCTCCTCATGGCTCTGCCTTTCTCCCCCCGCAGGGAGGCTGAAGAAGCCTAACATCACCTGGAGCCTCATGCACACTGAAGATGACATCTGCAGGCTCAGCCTGACCTGCTCAGTGGAGGATGGTGGTAACAATGTGACCTACACATGGAGCCCCATGCAGAAGGGCRCTATTCTGTCCCAAGGGAGCTCGCACCTCAATGTCTCCTGGAGAAGTGGTGAAAAATACCCCAACCTCACATGCACCGCCAGAAACCCCGTCAGCAACAGCTCCTGCCAGTTTCTGTCTGGGGACATCTGTTCAGGTTGCTCTTCCTGTTTACTCAGGTCACAGGGCCTGGGGCCTCAGTTCCAAGAGAGTCTGTGTTCCAAGTGGTTCTTTATGAAAATCAGTGAGGGAATGAGGGTGAGAGTCCTCGAGAATGGCACATTTTGATAGAAATGTGTGTAATTTTTAATATTCTAATAACCACATTAGAAGAAGGAAAAAAAATTTTAATAATGTTTTTTACTTAACCCCAAACCCAAATATCAAATATAATCATTTCATGTTTATTCAAGACAGGAATTATTTACAAGACAGTTTACTGTATTTTTACTTTGTCTTATTTTTTTAAGCCAGTATGCATATATACTGGTGCTAAGTTTTCAGCAGAAGTATTGGATCTGTTTTCAGATTTCAAAAGATTTACAGTTGAAGAAATAACCTTTCATATGCCAATTTTCCCAAATATACTGATCGGTTTTTCAAGAAGGAATTGAGGGCTGGGATTGTAGCTCAGTGGAAGAACACTTGCCTCACATGTGTGAGGCACTGGGTTCGATCCTTAGCACCACATTAAAAAAAAATAAGTAAAGATATTGGGTCCATCTACAACTAAAAAAAAATTTTTTTAAAAAAGAAGGAATTGAGTAACCATTTTAATATTTAAATTTAAATTAATTAAAATTAAATAAGCAAAAGCTTCTCAGTCACACTAGCCACATTTCAAAGGCTTATATTTGGCTTATGTCTACCCTATYGGACAGAAAAAAGTTCAAGATTGATGGGAAACTGACTTGGTGTAGGAAGAATAAAGGAACACAGGCTGTGTGAGTGGAACTAGAAAGGAAACCCTGGTAAGTCTTATCAAATACCAGGCACTAGCCTAGATCTCTGAGATTTTGCAAAATCTTCTCAAGAATCAAAGAAAACAGGTATTCTTATTATTCCCCAGTATATAGACAAAGAAACTGAGACTCAGAAAGGATAAGGTACTTGAGCAAGGTCACACAGTAAACTCTCCTGTTCCCTGGAGGAAAGCAGAAAAAAGGTAAGATCTACACAGGATCCTACGAGACGGGGTCAAGCTATATCTGGCAGACAAACCTAGAGTTCCRCTCTGTAGGAACCTGGACTCTTTCGGCCTTGAACTTGGAGGAAGCTCTTAGACAGACAGCCTGCCTTCAAAACCCAGGCCAGATACTTCAAACTGTGACACTGGGCAAGCCATACATCTTTCTACCAAGGTAGCATATCTGCCTTATGTACTGCTGTCATCTCTGACCTAGAACAATGCTTACTTTTAAAAAATGGTTATAGAACAAGTGAATGAAAAGAATCATTTTAGGCAATGTCAAGGGAGTGAAAGAGTTAGGTAAGATGGCCACTGACCTGTTCTGTCTATGTTTTGCTCTGATCTCTTTTGTCATTATTTTTACTGATTTCATTCATTTCCTCTTCAAAGGGTCTAAGAGAAAAAGACATTTTTGGATTTGGTTCTCCCCGGTTATCATCCTTCTGATCTTGGGCATCTCCAGCTGGTACATTTGGAAGAAAAAAGGATTGTGTAGGTTTCTGAGATTAATGGCATCCACCAACATGAGTCCATTTCCCTAGGACCTTTGGAGGCCCCTCTGTCCTCATATAATCCTTTTTTATCCCTTCCATCCCAAGACCTCGCTTCTCCAAGTGATATGGGGATGAGTTTTAGTAGAGACGCTCAGTTAAGGATAATTGAAACCCAACTAACATTAGCTTAGACTTTAAAAGGGATGTGGGGAGGGGCAGGGAACATGATTTATTGTTCCAGGACTCACATAATCAATCTGTGGAGAAGAGGAGGATGGAGTTGGCCTTAATGTACAAATGTTACCAGAGGCTCAAAAATCACCCGAGCTCTCCATTTCTCATCTCTGTTTTTCTTTTWGATCTCCTACTACAGACAGCCGAAGGGCAAAGGTGGAGGTGAGGGGCAGAGATTTACCACAACTCAACAACTGGTGTTTCCAGACTCGCACATACTAACAACGGGACACCACAGAAAAGTTCCAATTTGAAAAATGTCAGAAATATTTCTGATTGGCCAGGCTAAGGTCATGTGATTGCTCCGTGGGCCAATCACCATAGTCGAGGGGATGTACTATTAGAGTTGCCAGTTCCCTCTAGAATCTTAGTATTAAAGTAGAAATGAAGGAATTTCCAGAAAAGAACAGGGAGGCCTCTGAAAGAATTACTTTGAGCAGGCAAACTACTATTAGTGGCTACGACAGAGGAGTTAGATCTCTCCTTTTTCAGAAGGAGGGCAGGAAACTCCACAGCTTTCCTCTCGGCTGAAGATGAGCCTAAACTCTGGTCAACTCTTGCCATGGTTTTGTGCTCAGGTCAGGGTCCACCCTCTTCCTTAAAGTTTCTTCCGTGTCTGTGTCCCCAGAAGTCTCTCCCCTCTCCATTGACTCTCACAGAATCAAAGATATCTCTCTCCACACAGCCATCTTGATAACCTTCTTTAACTTGGTTTCCCAGATTCCGTGCCAGCCTCCAGTTCCAGCCACGCTGAGGCCCCATCTGACCCACCAGGTAATATCAATGACATAGGCTTTGGGGCCCCRGATTGAGATAGAAGCTCCAAAGCCTGGCTGCTGAGAGTGTGGCCTGCCAACTGGCAACATGAGCASCACCCAGGAGTTGGTTAGCTTGTCCGAGTCTTGGGCACTAACCCCAGAATACAGAAAACAAGTCTGCATCTTAGCAGGATCCACAGGTGATTCATATGCCCACTGAAGTTTAAGAAGGGACAAACTAAAGGTGGGTGGTTTGGAATCAAAAACCTCAACCAAGATGGACCCCTTTGAAATGGTCACTGGAGCTAGGAGGGTCACTCTGSGATCTCTCGGGTTCTTTGAGCATTGTCTGGCATCACTTGAATGTGGGCTACCTTGAGGATGGAGTTATGTTCTCCACTCTTGGGGTAGAGAAACAAAGGACAGATGGAATAACAATGTCCTAAATTTCCACTTTGAACTCCAGAGCTCTAGAGTACTAAGGAACCCCCCAAATCTGCCCACTCGATCACCCCCTGCTTTTGTCTTCGTGGTGGGTATCCCCAAGGAGATGCAATCAGAAGAGGGACAGGAGGYTGGGGGCTCAAGTCATCAGACAATGGCAGACTTTCCTGATAGGAAAGTGTAACCAACTCAATGGGGTCAAGAAATGCCAATGAGGTTAGACCATAGATCTTCCCACTGGCTCCCTCCTCACATCTGGCAGGACAGAACCCTCATCCCTCCACCCAGTCTGGGCCCCCCTCCTTGAATTCTGCAACAAGAGTAGAAGTAAAGATGGAYTGAGAACAGCACCATCATTCCTGACCTCCCCCCTCCCCCAGCACCTCTCGTCAACCCCCAAGAACCCTTGCTTCTCCAATCTCTCCCCTCTCTCCAAGGTCTAATTCTGTACAGTTACTGCCACTGCCTTAGTTTATACTGTCACCAATTTTTTATTTGGTTGAAAAGGTTTTTTTTAAAATTTAAAAGTCATATATTCACATGGTATACTGGTAAAAGTAAATACCTTTCCAAATCTCAACCCCCAGTTTCCAGGTCTGTCTCCCACAGAGATCACTGCTAAGCATGATATTTATCAAAATCCTTTAAGATGCTCTTAATGTATTTACAGGAGATATATATATATATAATTGAACCCAGGGTGCTTAACCACTGAGCCACATCCCTAGTCCTTTTTTTAATTAACTTTTTATTTGTTTTAATTAGGACAGGACAGTAGAATGCATTTATGCACTTGGATRTATTATACACAGATGGGATATAATTTCTCATTTTTCTGAGTGTACATGTTGTAGTCATATTGGTCATGTAGTCACATATATACATACAGTAACAATGTCTGTTTCATTCTACTATCTTTCCTATCCCCACACCCCCTCCCTCCCCACCCATCACTTCCCTCTACCTAATCTAAGGTAACGTTATTCTTCCCTAGCGCCCCCCACCTTATTGTGAATTAGCATCCACGTATTAGAGAAAACATTCGGCCTTTGGTTTTATGGGATTTGCTTATTTTACTTAGCATGATATTCTCCAGCTCCATCCATTTACTGGCAAATGCTATAATTTTGCTCTCTAGTCCTTTTTTAATTTTCCATTTCAAGACAGGGTCTTGCTGAATTGCTCAGGGCCTCATTAAATTGCTGAAGTTGGCTTTGAGCTTGCAATCCTCCTGCCTCAGCCTCGTGAGCCACTGGGATTACAGGAGTGTGCCACTGCATTCAGCCCCTCCTCTCTCTACTTTTTACTCACCACTTTGCAAAGCTCAACTTTGACCTACTCTAAAACCACCCATGACTCCTCATGGCCTTTGTCAGTTGTTTAAAAGGCAACATAACCTAGTGGTCAGGTTTATGGGTTCTGAGGTTAGAGAATCCAGTATTTATACCCTACCTCTCTTCCTTATCAACGATGTGATCTTGGGAAGTTCAGTTTCTTTACCTTGTGAAATGGAGGCATTTACCTCCCAGAGTTGCTTTGTGAATCAAGTGGAGTGATGCCCACGTTGGTCACTCTATAGATAGTAATCACTATTATTGCTAAGTATTGGGACAAGCCATTCTTTATCTACTTTTTTCCCTACACAAAACCCCTAGGAGGCAGTATTGAGTAGTGGTTAAGAACATCAGAGACCAGGCTACTTGCATTCAAATCCTGGCTCTACCACTTACTTGGGCCCACACTTAACCTTTATGTGCTCCGTTTTCTCATCTGCAAATAACAAATAAGCGTAGCTCTTGTCTGTGCCTCATGGAGTTTTAGATAAGCTTACTCATGAAAAGCATTTAGAACAGTGCCTGATACAAAATCGACATTTAGTAAATGTGAGCCATGTTTATCCCATACTCAGGTCAAATGGGCTATTCAATGTGTCCAGAGGCAAAGCTGATATTCACTGGGTGTGACATGCTAATTGTTCACAGCAGGTGCCCATTCTGATTGTACTCTGCCCAGGCCATTGAAGTCATTAAGTATTTTGAATATCATCCCTTTCCAAAAGTGAGGGTTCTCTAAGATTTATACCCCCTGTAATCACATTATTACCTCCATCAAGGATTCCCTCTCGGCAAAATCTTGCCCCTACTTCAAGGCAAACTCTATTCTACCACTTCAAGAGAGTGCCTCATGGTTCTCCTAACCACAAACCATCTCCTCTCCCTTCTGCACTTTGCTCCTTTCCATGTGACACGTCAGAGCTGGCCTTACACTAATTGACTTATGTGTGGATCTGACCACCACAACTAGATAGTGGACTCCTCCAAAACTAGTTGTAGTTTATCTTAGTGTCTCCCACTGCTTGATGTGGTTTATCCAACTAAGAAAGCTCTGATAAAAATTGCTGAATACATCATATGTCATACTGGGTATCAGATAAATCAATAAATGAGTGCTTGAAAGGAATGAGAAGGGGAGAAAAACCTAAATGAAGATAGAAAAAAGTCTTCAGTTCATTCAGCCTCATCGGGGCAAAGCAGGTTGAGTCCTTGCAGCAAAAGAACAGTAGGGGTTGGTGCGCTTATGTGCTCCAGAATCCACGGCTGGCCACACCATATACACCGTGATCTCCCAAGGACATGAGAAGCTGGACCCTCTCCCGAAAACTGCCAGGCCTTGGTCTAGGCCCCCCTCAGACACCAGCTCCAATAGCAGCATCACGACTGAAGAGGATGAGGAGAGGACCCAGATGCACAATTCTGTCAATGGAAAAGATGAGGTGAATGACTCTGTCACTCAGAAAGACATTGGACAAGACTTGGCCACTGAGGGGCAAGCAGAGCTTGTCATTCTAGATAACAGAGCAGTTGGATCTGTGGTCGGAAAGAATTTGGAGTATACACAAGTGGTCCTTAATCTGCAGGTGAGCCCTTMTGATCAATGCACCCTTCTCTAATGGGGGTGAGAGCCAGCATATCATTGGAGGGGGGGKTTCTTCTTCTTGCCAAGGAGGGTATAAGCCATCTGAAAACTTAAAGTCTCAAATATTTAGTGAAAAACAACACAGAAATATATTTACCAAAAGCAGAGCCCCTGGTAGATCTAGTCCACATGTGCTCTGGAACGAGACAAAGGAAAGATGGCTCTGGTGGTTTGTTTAAGGGGGTACATCAACGGCAGGGATAAGGTTCCAAGGGCAGAGTCTTGCTTTGTGATATCTTGTAGTCAGCAAGTTGATTGGAATCTTGGCAGGTCACACCCATCTCAGGTGCTGTGTGGGATCTTTGGCAGAGCTTGAGGGGAACATCCACCTGCATCAGGTGGTCTATCCTTGTGGGGGTGCCACGGGAAGTTCCGAATGTCAGACTTATCCCCTCACTAGGCTATGACATGCAACACAGTCCATATACAGCCCACGGATGGCTGGTGACACTTCTCCACCCACTTCCAGGACCATCTAATTAATATCCAGAATCATGAGTTCCTCCAAACTGAGGGACCAAGGCTGGGTGTGGGACAAGGGATATACCAACAGGAACTCATGGCTCTATCTATGTTTACCAAACCTTGGGGTCCCTTGGAATGCAGAAATTGACTCCTCAGTTTCCATTCTTGGGACGTTAATAAGGGAGGAGTTGGAGAACCAGGAGCCCTATCCACTGAACCGCAGCAGCTCCCACCTTTTATSTGAGCCAAGAACCTGGTGGGATGTCCTCTCTCCTCAGTGGTTGAGGGTGAAACTCTCTCTCCTTTGGAAATTAAAACTAGTCTGAMATTGTTCTGTTGTAGGAAAAGAACCCAATTCCTCAGAAGAAAGAGAACTCAGCCACAATCTATTGCTCTGTACAGAAACCTCAAAAGGTGAGAACAATTTTCTGTCTTCCAAAGCCCATAAAGCCAGTGGTGGTAGCATATGCCTATAAGCAACTCAGGAGACTGAGGAAGGAGGATTGTAAATTCAAAGCCAGCCTCAGCAACTTAGTGAGACCATGACTCAAAATAAAAATAAAAAGGGCTGGGGATGTGGCTGAATGGCGAAGTGTCCTGAGTTCAATCCCAATCCTCAGTACAAAAAAAGAAAGAAAGAAACTATTTCTCAGACCTTTTGAACTAAAAGTTGTAGATTTCCATGACTGAGGAGATTAGATTATACCCAATTAGATATCACTCTGATATATTCCAGGGGCAACAAAGGTGCTTAAACAAATATTCCTGATTTGCATCTATGTGAATAAAGGTTGAACATTTCCAATCAATTTAATAATATCTTGATATGTTGATTATTCTTCACCTTGACCAGAATGAGAGACTATAAACACAAACACTGTTCTATATGTGTCTACACACATGTAAATGTAAATACTATCCTATATGATGTGATTTTATTATATATATATATATATATATATATATATATATATACCTAATCCTAATCCACCAAAACAGTGACTTTCCAGAACAACTAGAAATTAGCCAACAATTTTATGTCAAGCATATGTACTACAAACTATAGCACACAGGTTTCATTAGAGTGTTAAAAAGATCCCTCAAGGTAGAATTTACCTTTAAATAATAATGATAATTACTTTTATATTAATCTGTACAGTTTACAAAACATGAACAAACACTGTCACCTCTGATCTTTGTAACACCTCTAGAAATATGCTGTCATCCACATTTGGGAGCTAAAGGAACTGAGATTCAGAGAAGCACATTTGGCCTACAGTCACACAGATAGTCGTTGGAAGTTCCAGTACTGAGAACCACAAGGAGTTTAAAGAAAATCTTGAATAATCCTTAACAGTTAACTCTGATCCATATCTGGCTAGCCACTCCATTTTCACCTTCCTGAAAACATGGAGTCCATTCATGCTTTTGCTTCCAAATTTCCCCCACCTCCAAATTCCCTCCTTGTAACACATTCAAAAAAAGAGTTTTAAAAACAAAATTCTAAAAGTTTTTTTTAATTATGCTACTTATCTATAATTGATGAATCAATCACTAGGTATTTATTGAGTCTCTTTTGTCTGCCTGAAACTGGCCAAGTGCTATGGGGACTCAGACATGTTTAAAGCACCATCCTTGGCCTTGACAGGACTGTAGCTCAGTGGCAGAGCGCTTGCCTGGCACATGTGAGAAACTGGATTGGATCTTAGCAGCACCACATAAAAATAAATAAATAAAATAAAGATATTGTATCCATCTACAACTAAAAATATGTGGGGGAAAGGGCACACTCTTACATTACTGGTGGGACTGCAAATTGGTGCAACCAATCTGGAAAGCAGTATGGAAATTCCTTGGAAAACTGGGAATGGAACTACTGTTTGACACAGCTGTTCCACTCCTCAGTTTATACCCAAAGGACTTAAAAAAACAGCATACTACAGGGACACAGCCACATCAATGTTTATAGCAGCACAATTCACAATAGCTAAATTATGGATCCAACCTAAAGAAAATGTGGTATATATACACAATGGAATATTACTCAACATTAAAAGAGAATAAAATCATGGCATTTGCAGGCAAATAGATGGAATTGGAGAATATAATGCTAAGTGAAATAAGCCAATCCCAAAAAAACAAATGCTGAATGTCTTCTCTGATATAAGGATGCTCATTCACAATGGAGATGGGGGAAGCATGGGAGGAATAGACAAACTTTAGATAGGGCAAAGGGAAGGGAGGGGAAGAGGGGTTATGAGGGTAGAAAAGATAGTAGAATGAGACAGACATCATTATCCCCAAGTACATGTATGAAAACATACAAGAAAAAGAAGACAGATAGAGTTTATTCCATCAGCTGAAAAGGGAGAAGTGTGGCATTCCAAATAGAAGTGGGAGAAGTAATGGATATTACTGCAGAAAGTTTTCATGAAAAAGAAATTTAAACAGGACTTTTAAAGATGGATCCAATGTGCTCAGTAAACACTTGCTCAAATATACATTTCAGTTCACCCATCACCTGCCTCATCCTGACTTCCAAGATTGGGATCGAATGCTTAGCCAGCAAAGGACTTCACCTTTGGCCTTCAGGCCAAATCTGTTCTATTCTCTGCATTCCCAGAACTGCTTTCCACTCTGGTCTGGTCCTTTGTGTTTAGGTCAAAACGGGTTAAACTTAAGGTCATGGACTTTAAGGTCATTAGTTCCTGCTGAGTTTCCCAATGACCATGAGTTGCCACACTTGGTCATTCCTCTATGGCACTCACACCATTCAGAGGCTTGGATCCCCTAAATCCACTGTCACTTGCAGTGTAAGAGGAAATCAATGCATTTTCTCAGCCAAGATTTTGAAAGAATTTATCCCTGTCTTTCCGAATTTTCAGGACCAGGAATTCTAGTTCTGGGTTTTCTAAGGCCATTATTGCCTACTTGATCAAGAAAATTCTTAAACCTGCTTTAGTTTTCTGACACATTCTTCTGCACAATATCTCAAGGAAGGTCTATGCTATTCCCAAGCTGATCTTGGTACCTAACTTCCCCCTCCTCAGATTTCATCTGTTCTTCAGAGCCTTCCCTGGGCTCTCTCAGGAGAGGGATTCAGAACCCTTGGAACCTGGAGATCGAATGACCTTGACCATTACTTTGGAACTTAACCTCTACTATCTGAATTATCTCCATATAAATGTTTTCCTTGTTTCTCCAGCTAGTGCATAGATTGAGATCATTCAACAGTAGCTTCTTGAAGGCAAGGCATTTTATTGTCATTTTTTTAATCTCCTGGATTTTCTCTACTAAAATGTCTAGTATTGCCCTTGTAGAGAGTCCAGCCCACAGCATTTATCATTAAAGGAATCTCCATAAGTGCTTGCTTGATGGCTCAATACCTAGGCCCTTTCACATGACCCTACTCCTACAGCATAGACCAACCATAGTCTGGCCTTGCCTTCCTCTGTCTCATCAGCACAGGGCTAAGAGAACCAAAATCTTGAAAGGATTTATTAATCAAATTCTTGTGTGTTCTTTTGGCTCCCAGGTGGTGCCACCCCCACAACAGGATGGTCTTGAGTCTCCTGAAATCCCTACCTATGAAAATTTAACCTGAAAAGAAAAACAATTGCCACCTCTTTCCTGGGTCCCAGTCATTGGAAAAGCAGCTGGACCTTATAAAAGTGGAGTGTTCCTACAGATAGAAGCACATCAGACTTTCTGCAGCGACTCAGACATGCTCGGTTTGACCCCTCCCCCTACTTCTCACCCCTGTGGCCTCCTAAACCCATTACTATTTCAGACACAGGCTCCTTCTTTGATCTACATAAAATGATGTTCACATAGTATTTAAAATAAAGAGTGCAAAATATCTAAATGTCCATTTTGTGAGAGTCTTGTTAAATATATGATAATATACCCAAGCAGGGATAAACCCTACCACTTGGAAAGAAAGCAAAGACTAACATACTAGTATGGAATGAGCTCTAAAATACACTGTTGACTGCAAAGAACAAAGTCCAGGACAGTTCATACTGTATACTACTAGTTGTATTAGAAAACATGTCTATATGTTCAGGTAGGCATAAAGAAGTTCTGGAAGAAAAGGAAAAAAAATCTTACCTCCTGGGGAGGAACTAGAAATCCCATTTTTTTTCTGCATACTTTTTTTTTTTTTTTTGCATTGCTGGATTTTTTATAACCCTATGTGTATTACTCTATTGATAGTTCTCAAACAATGTTTATATGGCTCTTTCACGTAAGATACCCATATTTATTCAAAGAGCTTCCCTCCTTATTGTCAATCTGGCCACCGTATCTCTCCTCTTCCCAAATTATGACTGCAGACCTCTCCCCCTGCCTGTAAGATGCACTATATTGACATGTTCGTGATTCTATAGTGTACATTTGTGATTACATGCACTTTGCAGCCCACTTATATCCTTTAATGATGTGTTTCTGCTGCCATACCCTTCTGGCCATGGGCCTTGGAGTCGGTATGGCTTCTAGGACCTGCGATGGATCCTCCCAGGGGTTCAGAAAGTGCTTCATATTCAGCAGGAATTTAATAATTGCTTATTCATTGCCTCATTGCATGGATAATTATAGGTGTTATCATGGAAGTTCAACAGTCTGGCACACAATACGATGCTATACATATCACTCTCCAGAATACAGCATACCAAAAGTCCAGGGGCCCATAGGGTTTCTTCTGCTCCTTAAATACATGTGACCAGTTCAAGGTCTACATAGTTCAAGCCACTTGAAAAGCCAGCAGCAGTCAATGTTCAGTGACTCTGGTGTTCATCTGGACTGTTCTTATCCCATCATTTCTTGCTGCCTCTTTACCCAACTCCTAGATTCTACAACTCAGCTACCAATACCTACCTCAGGAGCCCAGACTCCTTTTGAATATATTTCTCTGGTTTTTAACCCTTGACGCTTACTTCAATATGTGGCCTATCCAGACTTCCCTCTAGGAAGGAGCCAGGCTAGCCACAGCCCCCAGGAAGAGACATCAGGCCAACTTGAGCAAGTGCATGTTTTAGCTATCCTTTGTGATACTGAATGGTCCCAGGCACCTGGTTCTCTGCTGTCCCAGTGTGAATAAAGCTAGGGGACACTGACCGCTTACCAGAAAGTCAGATCCCTCTCTTGCCTATGACCTGTGCAGACAAGAGGAATTGGTTTTGGCTGCAACATTAAGCTAAGAAAGCGGTGAAAAATCACACAACACAGAGATAAGTTTTTCAAATGGAGGGCGGGACGGCTCTGTGACCTTAAGGGTCAGCTTCCATGCTGGAAAGAAAGCACTGGAAAGAGAGCATGAGCTCGTGTTTCCTTTATTTTATAGCGGGGACATCAGAGGCAGGGATAAGACTTCAAGGGTGGAGTCTTGCTTCATAAGGTCTTGTGGTCAGCAGATTGATTGACATCTTGGCAAGTCACACCCATCTGAGGTGCTGTGTGGGATCTTAGGCAGATTGATTGACATCTTGGCAAGTCACACCCATCTGAGGTGCTGTGTGGGATCTTAGGCAGAGCTAGAGGGGCAGGCACACCTGCATCATGCAATCACTCCCTGATCGCATGGAGCCCGCAATGCCAGGCCTATCCCCTCATTTGGCTACAATGCACAATAGCTCACACACACAACCCGTGGATGGCTTGTAACAACCTTCTCCAACAGAATTAAACAGGCATGTGTTTGTAGATGGCCCATAAGTCCCCTTTGACTGCTTTAGAGTGTACAAATGCAGAGTGTAGAGAAGATACATAGATTTAATCCAGGCAAAGGATTTAGGCTGCCTCTGTGTAACACCAAATTTTTATATTAAACACATATTTTAAATGAAGGATAGGACACTGAAGAGCCAGGCTATGAGCAGTTATCACCTGCTGTAGTCTCTGAGTCCCCTCTCCTGGGCTCATCCAGAGTCCCAGCCTTGTTGAGGGCCGGCCTAAAGACTCGGGGCACCCAGCACAGATGTGGTTCCCAGCTGCCTCATCTTTTAGCACCCGAGTACCCAAGCCCTCCCTCCAAGGTATACAGTGGGAAGGCAACACTAATCAAGACTCAGAACTTAAATAGAATGGGTTTTCCAAGAAGAGAGGCAGACCTCTACCACAAAGGAGCCAAATAGATTTCTAATAATATGTCTTTGTAAATCAAACATTACACTTTGGACAAAACTGGTCTAACTGCCCAGTTCTCAAGAAAGGCTTTGGGTGGTTCTTCTTTCCAGTGAAGAGTTTGCTTCTCATCACCCTCTGTTCTTGTGTCTGCCCACTTCCTTTGTGACCAACCGGCCACTGTAAATGTGTTGAGGTTTAGGGGAAATTTTTCACCTGCATTCAAGTTGCAACCTAGGTGCTGGTCCACCTGTGAGAACCTGCTTGCCAGCAAACRGAAAGTACAGCTTCAGAGGAGCCTGCTTCCTCTTCCCCTGAGTCACTGTCRCCTGTTTTTGCTTGGTAGGTAGGCCTGGGTGAGGTGAGGGTCTAGAAATGCAGTCTAGACCAGCATCCCAGATCAGAGAGGATGAGAGACAAGTAACAGGTTAGAAAAACCAGGACCAGGGAATCTCAAGCCTCCATTTACATAACTTGATAGATTACAAGTACTCAGAATGTGGTCAACCCAACCTCTCCACCCATTCTTGTCTAGTATCTAAGCTGGGAGATATTATTTCACAACCTTGCTTGTATCATGGCTGTTAGAAATCATTTTCAAAACAAAATAAAGACCACAAATAGACTTTCATATCCTCTCCCAAATAGGAACTCTTAAAAAAAAAAAAAACTCTTGTGTGTGGCAACATCTATTCCGCTGATTCCCAGCACCAAAGCGGATATGGAAGAAAGGTCTAAAGAGCTAYAGCATTTAGGAATAAATATCAAAGTTGTCCAGCTCTTTGCGGCTCAGCCGGGCAGGGTTACGGGCTCTGGACTCTCTTGCTCCAACCTGCAGAAGAAAAAGGGAAATTTCAGACCCTCCCAACAGAAGATCCTTATAATCATTCTATGGTGTATGAATTGTTTTCACTGTTTTATAGATTATGAAAATGAAATTCAGAATGGTAAAATAAATTACGCAGGGTCAAGGACTAGCATGAAGTAAAGAGGGGGACCTGAATCCAGTTTTTCTTCCTTCAATTCCAGGGATCTTTTAACTACACTGTGCTTCTTTGTAACCCCCCACATTACTTTGGGCCCACACAGTATCCTCTATACCCCTGAACTGTCTGTCCAGTTGGCTTTAATATAAAACTATAGCTGAAGGGCCAGGAATCTCAGAAAGTACCCGCCTGCCATCTCCAATGCAATCAAAGACAACATGTCATGGATGGAGGCTTGGGTGTGCCATGATGCTAACAGGAAGAGGTGACATCCATGCCTGAATTTCTTTGGGTATAAATGTGAAGGTAAGGGCTTGGGACATAGCTCCATGGTAGAGCATTTGCCTAGTATATGCAACCAACCACTAATACTACCAAAAAATATATCTAACTTATAGCATTCTGTAAGCATTAAATCAGATAGTTCATGTGAAGACAATGGCACATTGTCTTATGTATAATAATCCCCCAAGAASTGTCGAGTTCCTCCTCTCTCCTCCCTAAATGGCCTCATGGGAATCAGTTCAGCTACCAGGCTCAGTGGTCACCTTCAAACAGTGTCTTCCTTAGCAGAAGCTGAAGATCATCCACATCCAGAGTGGTTCCCAATGCCATGCTAATTTAGRAAATCACTTAGAGTTCCTTATTTTCCCCTCTCTGGATTTCTCCCACCCCASCCTCACATGCAGCCTTTAAATGGAGATGTCTAATTTGTACTCAATAGCCTGGGAACTAGCTTGGGGACAGTCCTAATTTAGAACACAAGCTGAAAGTCAGATCTGAACACCTGATGTCACATTGGGGGACACCCTCACTCTCTTTGGACCTTCATGTCTTTATCTCTAAAATGAAGATTTGGATTTAAAAACCCCTACAATCCTACAACTATCAGACTGTATGGATGACCTTTTCATAAGTACACCCTTCATGGCTTGTCTTCAGGGCTGTGGTATAGACACTAAACCCACTCCGGAGAGTTCCAGAATCTTACCTCTTCATAGATGGAGCTATTGACGGAAGGGTCATGGTTCCTCTCCTTGCATCTGGACTAGAAATTCAGAGAGCAAAGAATTATGCATTCAACATAAGAGATGTCCTATTCCTGACTAACACAACGAATTCCAAAAGAGACTCAAACCCCAGAAGTCTCCTAAGCTTTCCTCAACAAGAAAGTGAAAAGAATCTACCTCAAGATTGAACAGTGGTATTAATTGTCTCCCCAAAAGCACAGTACATCAGTACATACTGGCCTATGATATGACATTTCTGAACCAAAGCCAGAGTTTAGTATCCCATACCCAAATACCCCTAAGTCTCACACACAAACACACATTCCCAGGGCACATGCACACACATGCGCTTACACACACACACACACACACACACACACACACACATCCCTCAGTCCTAATGCAATTATCATCCCAAACCATGTATCTCTTCAACACACTTTCCCATAATGTAAACAACAACGTTTTCAGAATATAATACTAAAGCATGTAAACAGAGTACCTATGAGCATCTGGATGTCCTTGGTTGTAGCATATAATTAAAAATCTATCATGGTGAGTCCAAGTTGGTTGAATGACTTATTGAAAAGAGGTAGAATAAGAAGTCTGAATATCCATTCTAAATCCCTTCAAATACACAGTCCCTAACCTATATGGACTCCCACAGTTCTGTGGATTTCCATTTTCCTATTGTACCACGTAGCAGCTCATGGCTTCATACTGCAATTCAAGCCATGGAAACACTACTCTTCCCATCCTCTCCCATACCAAGTAAAAAGGATGAGCAGAGCATCAGGAAACTCAGCTCCAAGGTACTAGGTACACCCAAGAGCTATGAGCTCAGCTTGGAGCAGGATGTGAGTRGAACATGACTGCTGCGGTCCAGGGTCTTCCACCAGCAGGTGACTGACCAGAAAGTTAGCATTGTTTCCCCCTAACCCAGCCCTCCAGCTGCAGGCCCTAAGTCCTTCCTTCACAAACCTCTCCAATATCTTTCACCACAGCCTCAGCTGGTCTACTAAGGACCCTGTGGTCCTTCTGCACAAAGYACCTCCTTCCTGTCCTTGTCCCTCGCATCCCACAAAAGCCCTAGAAAATCCTATAATCCACTATTCTCTGAGTCCAGAGATGTCCTTATCCTCAAGGCAGAACCCTAAAGGCATTTTTCCTCATTGGCCCATTAACATTGAAACACAGTCATGGAATGGAAGCTACCCAGATACACACCGTGGAGGACCACTCACTGTAGCATGCACACACACTCTTGCAAACACATGCCTGTGTATGCACATGCAAAATACACATCTGCATCAATCACACCACACGGAGGAAGAGACTTACCTTCCGGGAAGGCTGTATAACTGAATACAACGTATTTGTAGTTTCTTTTGATGTGGAAGAAGAAGGCTAATGAGAAAATAAATAAGAGCATTTCAGAAGCATAGATCCAACACAACCCTAGAGGGATCATTGCTTCCATCACTCTGCCTATACCCTGCCTAGACAGAAGCTTTAAGTGTTAGTAAAAAGAACCCTGAATTATCCAGGAGGCCATGAGTCAACGCGAATGCTAGTCCCACTCTGTTACTAAGGGTAACTACTATTTGTTGAGCAGTTATTTTATACRTGCATTCTCCCCTAATTCCTATACCACTCTTATAACTTAGGAACAATCATAAATTTTCCCCTGCCACAGAGAAGGCTACAAAAGGGTGAAAAGCCCAAATCAGAGTAAAACAATGGGGTCAGGATTCAAACCCAAGACCCCCCCCCCAGGGCTTTTTTCTCAAGGAGTCAAGCCTCCTGTTGGCAACATATCTTCTGTCTCTGGACCTGAAACTAGAGTCCTCCAGGACAGGTAACCATCCTCCTTCTAAGGTACTCCAGAGGAGCRATCTCATCCTCACCCAACACCCTAAGCTGAGAGGAGCTCTTCCTTGAATTTTATCCAATCCCTCTCCTTGAATTTCCATGTGGATAAAGCCAGAGAACTGCAGACATCAATCATTCTTGCAATGGATTTTCTGTCCCCCACAGCTCAGCCACCAAGCCTAAGATATGGCTGCACCTAGCTTGTATAATTTTATCAAAATGGCTTTTACTGTCATGTATAACYAATAAGAACCTATAAAATAAAATTTAAAAAGTAAAAATGSTTTTTTAAGAAAAGAGTCATTTTATCAGAAACTTTTCATCATTGGCCACAAGGAAGCAGCATTTTCCTTGGGAGATCTCTCCCAGCCTGGGTTATCAATAATTTGCTGATCAATATTGGATGTGTCTCCTGTCCATGAGTAAATTTCTATAACCCCAGGCTATTAAAGGTGAGGTAGAAGGAGATGGAATGGAGTTTCAAAAACCCATTTGGTTTGGTTCTGCCACYGCCGAGCTATGTGGCCTTGAGCATATTATCCTGTTTGCTTATCTGTGATGTGGGGTTCAGACTATATCTAAAGCATGAAGACTATTTCATGAGGCTGCTGTGGGAGATTTATTAAGAAAATGGATGTACTGTTAAGTCTAAATAAGACTAAAGAGACCAAAACAGATCTAGTATTTCCTGGAAACAGGTATTAGGGGTAATGAGGATAAATTGTATGAGAGCCCCAATGATTGGTGCTGAGAGCCATAGCCAAGTAGGAATGACGCATGGCATTTTGGGTTGAAAGGTGACCCTGCTCAGGGATTAGGGTGGCTCCAGGTTTAGGGTGGATCCAGCTGGGAATAGGGCAGCTCCAGGTTTAGGGTGGATCCTGCTGGGAATAGGGCAGCTCCAGGATTAAGGGGTATCTTGCTGCCTCAGGCGCCCGCTCCTTTGGAGTTCCTGTGGAGTTTTCGCGGGGTTCTGAGAGTATTGGTACGCAGAGCCCGGTGGAGAGAGTGTATTTTCCCAGAACGTGCGTATAGAGTGCTGGTGAGAGTTCGGGAATAAAGAGTTGCTGTTTGAATCTACAAGGCTTTTGTGGTGGCTCGGTTATTTTGTGCCCAGCCAGACTGCGGCAGATTTGAATCAATAGAAAGAGGGAAAAAYTGAGTTCCCTAACAAGGTTCCTTCTCCTACAGACAATCTGGGCTAGACCTTCTGCCAAGTGTGGGAAAAGGGAGAATGTCTGCATTGGACTTTCCAGCTCTGTTAAGACACTCCAGAGGTTCCTCAAAAGATTAGGAATGAAAACACCATATGATCCAGCTATATCACTCCTCRGTATTTATCCTAAAGAAAATATTAAAGTCAATATACTATAGCAATAATGCAAACTCATGTTTATAGGAGCACAATCCACAATACCAAATACCCTAAACTAAGAATTTAGGTGAATTAGACCGAGAGCCTTCAAAGACCTATGTAAGTGTCAACMGTTAATTCCTGCACTAAGGGCTGCAAGACTCTATCTTACATCAACTGAATGCAATGGAACCAACCTTGGTGTCCGTCAATGTATGAATRGATAAAGAAAATGTGACATGTACACACAATGGAGTTTTAATCAGAGAAGAATGAAATTATGTCATTTGCAGGAAAATGGATGGAACTTGAGAGCATTATGTTAAGCAAAATAAGCCAGACTCAGAAAATTAAGGGTTGTATTTTTCTCAAACATATGGAAGTTTGAGAGGAAAAGAAAGATGTGGCATAGGTGGAAGTCTTATKAAAAGAGATGGGAGATCAATAGAGAAGAAGAAGGGACCAGGGAGAAAGGAGGAGAGGAAAGGGGGAAATAATGGGGAAAGTACTGGCCAGATTTTATTGTTATATCATGTGCATATACAAATATATCAACAGATTCCACTATTGTGAATAATTATCATGGACTCATAAAAATATGGAAAATGACACCAGAATATACTGATCTTTTCAACTTGTTAATGCACCTGAAGCCAAGCTAGGCTCTGGACCCCAGGAACACCCAGATCCTGCCATTGAGGGGTATAAATTGGGGATGGGGCATTAGGGAGCCKCATAGATGGGAATGGAGAGTATTAGAGAAACCAGAGTGGTACCTGGGACTGGATCACAGAGTAAATGGTGAATCCTTCTTCAGGGACTTCCTGCTGCTGTAGAAGAAACAATAAAGGAACATGAGGTGACATGGGTAGACAGCGGGGTCTTTCCAGGTTTCGATTAAACAGGGAAAGATAGAAAAAAGAAGCCTGGGAAGAAGGTAGCAGGACTGGGAAAAGCCTCATCATTGAACACCCCAGGAGGGGGAGAGGCAAGAGGAGTTACAGGAGGTCACAATGGAGCAATTAGTGTCAAGAGCAACTCATGGCTCTTGACACTAATTGTGTGACTGGATTCAAGCAATCCTGTCCATTGGGCACCCCTGTTTCTTCCTTTGCTTTGATAACTTAGAAACCCCTCCTTGCCTTGGCTGACTTGAGGACTAAATTTTCCACATAACCATTGACAATAGGCAGAACTCCAGGCAGAGCTACAATCCGAGCCGTACCTCAGGGCACCGAAATTCAGAAGGTCTAAGCATTTTAAAGACCCAGCATCTTAAGCACCACCCCCCTCAATCTATGTTTCATAACCAGCTTGCCCTTGGCCTCAAGCCAGTCCTCTTGGCAGCTGTGATGCTGGGTGGAGCCCTAGACCCAAGGCTAAAGGCAGGGGGAACACAGCCCTTCCGGTTTCCCTCCCTCAGGCCTCTCCCACAACAGATTAGGAGTGGAGATRTTTCACGCTGCACATCCCTGAGCACATATTTCCAGATGGAGCTCTGCTGGGGAGCCAAAGAAGGTCAGCAGCGTTCATCAGACAAGAYGGAAGCTGAACTCCCCAGAAACAAAAAGCTAAGAGGAAGAGAAATGTCAAGCCATCTTTGGGGGCCAGAGAGTCATGGGCATGTGTCAAGAAACAGGAGTTGTCTGGGTTTTTTTTCCTCTCCTGTGGATGGTCTCCAAAGTGAGACCACATGAAACTTGGGATTTAGGCCTTCAAGCTGGGGTCTGGAGACAGGGACAGGCCCCATAGAAGGCTGAGGCTGGGCAGAGAGGAACCTGAATCAGAAGCAGTGTAACAAGCCTGAGTCTCCCAACAGGTTTCTTTTACTCTAAATGGTTATTTCCTCCTGTTTTTCCTRTTTCTCTAAAGTCATCTTCATTTGGGGAGAGCGGGGAGGCAGGAGATAAATGGCTAAAGCTAGATGCGTGTGCCCTTAGAAATCCGTACCTGAATCTGGAAGTAGTCAAACAATCTCCTCTTTTAATTTTCACACCCCAATATTCCATTTTGAGGGCAAAGAAACAGCGAGGGGAGCTGCCCTCATTCCCACGGAGGAAATAGACCTGAAGGAGGCCTTGTCTCTGTGATGAGAGGAGGAATTCCTCATTGTTGCCTCCTCTAGCCAAGCACCAAAATTGGCAGTGGGGAATGGGGCCTTCCTCCCCACTCCCACCTGCTACCMACCAGTTCAGTAGGCACTGCCTGATCCATCAGAGCCTTTCCCCAGGCTTGTCACCACATCCTGCCTGTGGTACTGGGGGCATCTTCAACCCCCCTGCAGCTTCCTCTTTTACATCCCTGGATGACAGGAAGAGGTGGCCACCACCCTGCTGAGAGCTGGCGAGAGAGGTTCCTGGGGGAGACACCCAGGGCTCATCAGTTTAAAATCAAGCTGATGACTTTCTCCAACCTCAGCCAGACTCGGGCCTCTTCTTTTCCAAAAGGCTGAGAACATAGATCAATGAGCCAGTTACAGAACTGTTATGCTTTGGCTGGTCACACTCCCCAGACCAGGGTGACCGTGAAAAGACCCACCCAAGTAAGCTCTTAACTGCTAGAGAAACAGAATTTGTGGTCATGAAGTGGCACCCCCTTTCTCCACAGAAAAGCCCTCTTCACCATGGCTGATTTTAGGACTGTCAGAAAAAGAGTCCATTGTAGATAAACTTCCTATTTTCATGTTACCCTGTTCACTTGGCCACTGGCCGAGAAGATACCAGCATTCCAGGTGCTGGACACCCCTTACTAGTTTTTCACAAACATATCTAGTAGAATACTTTGAAGAAATGTGCAAACAAGGCCTCTGGCCTTGAGCTGGGCTTCACAGAGATGTCTACATTTTTAAGATAAGTTACAATTGGGCTCCATGGTAACAGCTGGCAGGGGGAGGAAAGAAAGGGGAGAAGAGGCTCTCCCCTTCTCAGATGTTGTCCTTGAAGTGTTAACTTGCCCAGAACAGTGAAAGAAAAAAGCTGCTTTTATGTGAACTTCTGCAGACTGTGAACTTCTGAGCCCCTCCCCTTACATGCTGGGTATAAAACTCTGAAACTCCCTGAACTCAGGGTTCAGGGGATTGATTGATTACAGCAAAGGCTGTGCCCTCTGAACCTGGCTGCAGCCAAATAAAACTGTTTCCTGCTATCTTCGGTGCCTTGCCTCGTCTGTCCCTACAACAGTCAGAAACAATAAATACAGGAAGGTTTCCCTCCTCTTGGCACTCAGCCCATCTGGAGAGGCTGAGCAGCTGAGAACACCGTGGTGCTGTCTGGGGAGGAAGGAGCAGCCTCTGCCCTCTGGATTTTCTTGTGCTTCATCCCTTCGCACCACGCATGTCATGTCTGCCTCCCTTTCATTTTCTCTGCTTCCTTTGTTTTCCCTCATYTCCTGTCTGGCCAGAACTAAGAAACTGATGGAGAAAAGAAATGGGGGAGGGCTGAGGATAACTTTGAAAGGATCAATGTYCATTTCTCTTTGTCCCCCTGCTCTGAATGGCCATTCTCCTAAAAGCAACTTCCAGACCAACGGAGAGAGACCCCGACCCATAGAATGCCATACTTCATTCCTCCTCATCTGTGGGTTTTTGACATCTTCATAAATTGTCAGAAGTGTCTCTGGGCTGGTCTCTGTGGAAAGAGGTAAGAAAGGAACAGAGCTTCAGAAACGTCCAGAGGGCTTCCTGYCCAGCTCCCACTTTTGATGGTCCTGCCTCTCCCCAAGATGGCCCAGACCTTAAGAACGGCTCTAGAAAAGAGGCGGATTAGTGCTCTTCCCACAATATCTAAAGAGCATGTGATGTGCCCATCCCTGACATACCTTCTCTATCAAGATGGGCAGACCCCGATCAAACCAGGCAACCTGCAGATAAGTCTGCACATTGAGGATCAGATGCAAACATCTGGCAGCCAACACAGAAAGAAGCCTTGCTGCCACCGGTTGCCCTCYCTCAACYACRTACATGCATCCCGACACTCCCGGAGGGAAGGGATAMTATGCATCCAGGCACATCCCACTGAACACAGGACCCAGCCACTGAATCTRATGTATCGGGCCACAGCACCCCTCAAGGACCATCCACTTACGTGACTGCTTTCTCTTTCTCTTCCTCACACAGAAGCAAGTGAAAGTGACAATAAACAGTATGGCCAGAATAATGACAATCACCATAAAGGGCAGAATTCTGGATCCTGAGAAATTAAAAAAAAAAAATTAAAGGTGCAAGGACTGAACTCACTCCACCTCTTGCTTCCCACCTGCCAGCTGCAGCAGCTGTTTCAAAACCCACTCTCCTCCCCAGTGTGGCTGGTCTCCTCCTGCCCTATGAATCCCGCACCAAGGTTGTCTCTCTGCTCAATTGGGTAACTTCCCATAAGTGATGCCAAGAGTTTGGACATTAATTTCTGACAGGTCTCRTCCAAATTGTAATTCTGTAGGCTCRGTGTTACTGATTTAACTCTCTGAGCTTCAAATTTTCTCACGCATTAAAAGGAGCTAAAGCTATCCACCTATAGGGGATCATCACACAATCTGATATATGGAAAGCATCTGKCACAGCAAATATTTTATCTATTCATTGTTTATAATTTAACAAATATTTATTGCACACCTACTATGCATGAGGCAAGTCTTCCATTTCACCTTCCTGCTATTCCTGCCTCCACTGCTCTTCCTCACCTGAACTTCAACATTCAACATTTGTGTTGCATGTGTTGCCTGATATATAATCCAGCCAACATGAGAAGGGAGAGGAATTAAGTGTTTCAGGGCCAACTGACTAACTTTCCACAAACATTATCTCACTAAATCATAACAGCAATCCTGTGAGGCGCCCGTTATTGTTACCCACATTTTACCCTAGAGAACAATTGAAACTCACAGAGGCTAATGAATCTGCCTGGGATCACAGAGCTYGTTCATGTAAAGTGCAAAAACCAGTGTCCTTCTCACTACATAGTGCCTCCATCTTGTTTGTTTCTATTTTGCCCATAAGTACTTGGTTTTGTTGCCCCAATTTTGTTGAAGGTTCTTAAGAAAAGAGACTGAATGGTTTGGGTTTGGGTTTAGGTTTAGGTTTTTTTTCCATCACACCAATGCTGACTGGCATCTGGCACATTGTTTACCTAATAAAAACCGATGTAAACTCAGGTGATTCTCAGCATAAGCAATAAACCCAGATCTCCCCCAGGCATCGTGTGATTCTCCTGACCCAAGGCACTATTGGACAGTGTCATTACCTCCTGGAGAGCTGCATGGTGAGCCACCACTCAAGAGGACAGAGCAGGTCTCCATGTATCTTTCAGAGGAAGAAGATAATGGTCAGGAGCCATTGCAAGACTCACCAAACAACCACGMATTCCCTGTGTGTAGAGAAAACTTGCATCTCCAGAAGGATATGGAGTTAAAATCTTCCCAGACTAAGACAGGCCTGGGTTATAGAGACCATGTGCCTAGAGGCCAGGCCCTTGCTGAGGGAGGGCTAAATGACACTGGGGGAGGAAGCCCAGGAATGGCATATCCAAGTCTCCCTTGCATGTGAGCCTGGTCATGGGGTCCAATACCTTAAGCCTGTGTCATAGCCTAAAGTGCTCCACTTACTCAGGGGGACACGTAGACATCCCTGGGTGAGGCTGAGGGTTTGGCTTGCCCAACTGACARGGTTGCTAACATTGCAGGTATATGTGTTCTGGTCATTGGGATCAACCAGCACCTCCAGATGGGTAAAGTTCTCAGGCTCCAAGATCAATTCATTGTCTCTGTACCAAGTGTAGGTCACATTGCTGTCCCCGGATACCAAGCAGGACAGCACCACTTGGCATTTCCTTTCATCCAGGGCCTTCCACTGCTCCTTCAGAAGAGGCTTCCCAACATGATCTGGAAGCAAAGATTCTGATCAGAAAGGTGCTGGAAATAAAAGTCCTACAGGAATTGAGGGGACTGGGTGAGGAATCCTGGAGACTCACCAAATACTAATACCTTGAACTGGACCACATGCACATTTCCAGACTGATTGGTCACCTCCAGTTTATAATAACCACTGTCCTGTGGCTTAGCGGCCTTGATGAGAAGGGTCAAGTTCTCAAATTTAAAATCAAGTGTATTGTTGAAATGTTTAAGAGCTAAATCTCCATATGTCGGAGTGGAATGATTCCTCCAAGTCAGTATCACATAAGTTCCTGGATGTGAGAATAGCTCCATCTTCCATTGAACAGAAGTTTTCTCCATCTGTGTGTTAGAAGGCCGTAGATGGAGGGTCTCTCCCGAGAGACCARTCACATCGTGAGTAGAATCTGGGGATCCTAGGAGAGAAAAACCAGGCTGACAGTGACAGAAAGAGTGTGAGGCCTGAGCAATGTGGGCAGTTGGAGGCAGTCTCCCTTAAGCTAAGAGGATGGAATCATGTGTGAGGAGTCTGGAGTCAAAGAGAATATGAAAATATACTTCCTTTATCTGCCTGTCCTTCTTCCCAAGCTCTGTCCTCTAGTCTGAAGGAACCCACAAACCAATAACCATAGTTAGGACCTCTCAAGTACTTACCATGGGACAGGCAGATTTCAAACATTTACATGTTTTAACGACTTAATTTCACAGGAACCCCTGTGAAGGTCTCATCCTTATTTTATGGGTGAGGAAACTAAGTTAGAAAGCACTCAAGTAACACAGTGAGAATGATGAGCTCGAAATCCAGCTGCTTTGTCTTAGGGGATGAGCTTTTAACCAAGATGCTATAAACACCGTGTCTGATGGGACTGCCTTCCAGCAGCTTTGAAGCAACCACTRGTGATAACAATGGCCAGACCTAGTGGGACAAACCCTCCAAGCTGCTCCTCTTCTGTCCTCCCATAGAGCTGAATTCATAATCCTCTCCTACGGCACCTGGCACGTTGGTGTGTGGGCTTTACTCATTGACATTTACCAGTCTTTTACCAGAAACTATCCACAAAGATCACTCCCTAAAATTAGAACAATTAGAAAAACAAAAATAAAATTATACTTCCCAAGTATACCACAGAAGCTGAGTACTGTCGGTGAAGAAAAGCACAAATCCCTATGGCCATTTTTTGGCAGGGAAGCTACGTGGCACAGCTCACTGCATGAAGGAAATAACCTTGAGCATGCTTGAGAGTCACAGCCTCAAGGTTCTGCACGGCCTCAGGCTGGCATCAAGGCCCAGGCCACAGCTGGGAGTCAGTTGGCCTGGATTGGAGAGAGTCAGGGAGAATTTAAAGTAGAAAACAGGATCTGGGGATAGTTACACAAATGGTTCTTTTAAAATGAGGCCAAGGGAGGCAAAGCAAGATGGTACTTAAATAAGATCCTYGAGTGATCATCTCCCCACGGGGCATAGCAAGTTGAACAGCTATTCTCCCACCAAACTACCTTCACAAGAGCTCAGGAAATGAGGTGAGAGAACATAGTCCTGCTTATGATGAAATGAAAGAAGTATTGAAAAAGGCAGAAAAGAATGAGAAGCCCATGTCACCCCTTCCCCAATTCCAAGCAGTCCAGTGTGGAGAGAGACTCYACCTGCTTGAGATAGTGAGCAAGTTTAGGTCATGCCTTACACTTGAAAACTACTGCTGGACAGAATCCCAAGACCCCTACCACCAGGCCAATACCCACCAATTGAGTAGGCACCCACATGCCTACTCCAACCTTAGGAGGCAGAGTGGGAAGCAAGACTCCACCTGCTGCGAACAGGGCACAAATCTAGCATGGGACTTGGTCCCGGAGTTCAGTACCAGATCTGCAGCAGTAAGAGSAGCATCCGGTAGAAACTGAATGCCCCAAATGCAGGCCAGAGCTCACAGATGGAGAATTTAGCCAGTCCCAGCATCAGGTGCAGACCCATGCACCAGTGGGACAGGATCCTACATCACCCCCTACATCACCACCAGCTGTGGCCTGGGCCTTGATGCCAGCCTGAGGCCRTGCAGAACCTTGAGGCTGTGACTCTCAAGCATGCTCAAGGTTATCATCAGTCTAGGTGGCCAAGGAACTGCCTTCACCAAATCTTGGGCAGCCTGGTATGGAGTAAGACTCCATTCACTGAGGCCGGACAGGGTGGTAAGCAGAGAACTTTGCCCTCGAACTTAGTGGGGGGCTGGTGAAGCCCATTGGGCAGATCCTCAAAGACCCCACCCACACGTTTACCTGTGGATGAAGCCTCTAGAACAGCTCTAGTGCTGGGGAAGACATGTGGCCCGAGTCTATTGGCTTCTATCTATTCCAGCTAGCATCAGCTGGGCCTAATGGCAGCCATGAGTCTAACTCAGCAATAGGTAGCCCCCAGCAATGTAAGCTACCACAGTGTTCTGATCTTGGTGGGCTTGATGGCATCAGTGGTCACAGGCATGCCATAGGAAACTAGTGCTGGTCCATCCATGGTAACTCTGTCCAGAGCCAGAAAAAATTCTGCAGGACCTGACCACAGGTGGGCAACTGTGGATGTGTCCTTGAGCCTACCCTAGCCCCAGGAGAGGATTGTARGATAACCACTCTCTCTAAATACTCCCCTGGTCTGTTCTGAACAGCACACCAGCAATGCATTTGGGATACACTAGGCCTGGACACCCATTATTACTGAAACTGTGACAATTTACCAACAGCAGACTCCCAGCAAACCTGGACCTGCATGTCATCCAGTACTGGAATAGTAGAAGTGTCTACAGGCTCAAAGAAAATAAGCAGCCTACTTAGAATTTCTGAAAAGACATGCACAAACCACCAGATTGGGAAGACCAGAATAAATACCTAATGCTCAGATAATGCCCAGACAATGCCCAGATAATGTCATATGCCCATAAGCATAAAGGCTTTCAGAAAATGATGACCTCACCTAATACTCAAAGTAAGATGTCAGAAACTGACCAGGTGGCAATCAGTATGGGAGAATGCTCAGACAGACTACTTGTAACAGCTGTTTTAAGGAAACTTGAAGAAAACAGAAAAAAACATGTCAATGTTCTAACAGAGAAACTGAAAAAAAGAGTAGAAGCAACTGTTCTTAGTCTAGTTAGTGAAACAAGGAGCTTTTAGTTTTAAGATAAAGAAACTAGCAAACCTTTTTCTAGACTAAGAAAAAGAGAGAAAAAAAGTAAATGAAAGCAGAAATGAAAAAGAAGAGATTATAATTGACACCACAGAAATAWAAAGAATTCTTAGAGATTTTTATGAACAAGTTGTCAACAAATTGGATAATCTAGAAAAAAATGGAAAAATTCTTAAGAAACATAGGCCCCATCAATATTAAGTCATGAAGAAACAGAAAACATGAACAGAACAATAAGAAGTAATGATATTGAATCCATAATTAAAAGTCTCCCATAAAAAAGGAAAATCGCAGTGGGGCTGGGTATGGAGAGTATGTGTCTAGCATGCATTAGGCCCTGAGTTGGATTCAAAGCAAGCAAAAAGAAAAAAGAAAAAAGAAAAGAAAAGCCCAGGATCAGAGCTTCACTGATAAATTCTATCAACCATTTAAAGAAGAATTAATATTAATTCTCAAGTTACTCCAAAAAATAGAAGAGGAAGGAATTCTTCCTAAAGCATTTGATGAGTTCAGCCTTATCCTGATACCAATACTAGATAAGGGCACAATAAAGAAAAAAAACTACAGGCCAATATCCTTTGTGAACATCAATGCAAAAATTCTCAACAAAATACCAAAACTCAGCTAGGGATGTAGCTCAATAGTAMAGTGCTTTCCTAACATGTACAAGGTCCTAGGTTTGATCACCAAACACCCCCAACACACACACATACACCCCTAGAAATCTGAATCCAAAAGCACATTTAAAAGATTATTCATCATGGGGTTGGGGCTGTAGCTCAGTGGCAGGGCGCTTACCTAGCATGTGTGAGGCACTGGGTTTGATCCTTAGCACCACATTAAAAAAAAAAAAAAAACACTAAACAAATAAAGGCATGCTGTCCATCTACAATTATAAAACAAACATTAAAAAAAAAAAAGATTATTCATCACAATCAAGTGGGATTCATCCCAGGGATGCAAGAATGTTTCAATGTATGCAAATCAATAAATATGATACACCACATCAACACAATAAAAGACAAAAACCACATGAGCATCTCAATGGATTCAAAAAAGGCATTTGATAAAATCTAATGTCCCTTCATAAAAAGGCTGAATAAATTAGGTAGAGAGAACATACCTCAACGTAATAAAAGCCATTTATGAAAGCCATCAGCTAAAATTATACTGAGTGGGGGCATTCTGAAAGTTTTCTAAGATCTGGAACATAACAAGGATGCCCATTTTCACTACTTTGACACAACATAATCCTAGCCAGAGCAATCAAGCAAGAGAAAAAAATAAAGAACATTTAAATTGGAAAAGAGGAAGATGAATTGTCACTATTTGCTGATGATATGATCTTCCATATAGCAAACCCCTAAAACTTGAGAAAACAAAAACTACTAAAGCTGATAAATGAACTCAGCAAAGTTACAGGATATCAAAAATCAAAATACAAAAATCAGTAGTATTGCTCTATATAGCAAATTATCTGAAATAGAAATCAAGAAAGTAATTTCAGTTATAATACCTACAAAAAAAAAACCTGGAATAAATTTAATCAAAGATGTGAAGGATGTCTATGATGAAAATTATAAAACATTGATGAAAAAAATTAAAGAGTCTACCACGCGGCCTGCGCAGTGGTTTCATTAATGAGGTTCTAGGCATAAAGTTAGTTAGACGAGATCGAAATAAAAACACAAGACTCAATTACCTTAATTCTATTGCTAGGTCCCAGACGGCTCCCCTCTCTGGTTCGCTCCTCTAGCCGCCCAGCAGGGCAGCAAGGAWTACTCAGGGCTAGCAGGAGAGAGAGAGCGAGCACGCCGGGGAGTAGCCTTTTATTAGGGAACCAGAGATTCAGGGGAGAATTCCATCCAATGAAGGTTGAGGGGGGGCTGCACTCCAAGGTCAGGGTCAGCGATTGGGTCCCCGGGGTCAGTGGTCAGGCACACCCCCACACGGATGGGCTCTCTCATCAGGAGAGGGCCGGGAAAAACTTCGACTTATGCCAAAGTGCCTCAGACCCTCAACGGGAGGCACCCGATCACGTGTGAGAATGGTTTCCCACAAAAGAGGACATTTTAAAAAGTGGAAGAACATCCTCTGTCCAAGGATAAGAAGAATCAATGTTGTTAAAATGTCCATATTCCTTCCCCTAAGTGATCTACAGAGGCAATACGATTCCTATCAAAATACCAGACTTTCCACAGAACTCAAAAAAAAAATCCTAAAATTTATATAGAAAAACACATATAC